ATGAAAGGTACAAGGAGGGGAAAAAAAGCCTGTGCTTTTGAGAAAGCAAAACACAAATGACAGGAAGACAAATGGAGAATGCACACTAGCAGGACTGCAATGTGCAGTATACAAATAGTTAAATAGCTTGCACATTCCCCAAACTTTTGAGAGCACCAAGGACCTCACTTGGGGTTTCTGAAGAAAGCAGAAGTTATAAAGCTGCATCACTGAACTTCTTTATAGCCTTCATATTGCCATAAATACCGATCGGGTACAGTTTCCTTACACACATTCGTGCTAAACCCACCCTTCTCTTTACCCACGAGTGAGTTCCCTCTGAATACTTTCCATCAGCTTTCAAAAATTAATTTTGGACATTATAAAAAAAAAGGGGGGGGGTATAAAATCCAATGACAAAGGAATCTGGCTATTAAAAAACCACTTCTGTATATTTTTTTCCTTTCTAATATGGGATCACAGTATTACAATATATCAACTATATAGCAAAGAAAAATTCAGGGATCAAAGATGGTAGAAAAGGTAATGGTGGAGGACAGAGAAAAGAAAGTGAAGTGAGTTTGAGAAAAAGAGTAAGTGCTTTTATATTTTTAAAAACATCAAATGAGGTCACATGTTAGTTTTTTAAAAGGTCATGCTTAAGTGCCAACTTCAGTTTTTAAACAGGCATGCAACGTCAAGGAGCTGACAGACTATTTTTTTCAATTGAAAATATGAAGTACTCTATTATACATTCTACCAGGTGCACTTTTCAAGCAGTTGTTGGCATTGACAATCCTATCCAGATACACATATACAGTTCTGCTGAACCTTCAGTTTTCAGACTTCAGTCGAATGGCTTCATTGCTTAAAGATAAACTGCTGCTGGAGGTTGTGATCTTCACACTTCCTACTCTGAAGTAGTGCCCTTGAACTTTAATTGTTTCTCTATACTGGATCACTGGTATTTCTTACTGGGAAAATATTTGTGGTAGAAATCAACAGTAAATAAGAGGAAAAGCAACAGAAGGTACAATAAGAGAGCAGAGTTTAACGATGTATCAGGTGATTTGCATTTACAAAATGATTTGTTTCATTTACACTGTTATTCAAACAATCTTGTTTTCAAGTCACTGCTGTCCTTTTAAAAATGGTTTTGTATTTATTGTAAATAATAACCATACTCATTCATACAGAGTGAACACCAGAGTTGTATATATTAGAGTTTTGCCTTGTCACAATCTCATCCTTCCCTCTTATACTGCCACTTGATGACTACGAGGGCTCTAATCTAGGATCAGCGAGTGATCCAGGAGTTAGGACCCTAACCCTAATCCCAAAGCATCTATTGCCATACCAGCATACATTTATGTAACAGAAGACAGTGGTTGCAACTGAACAGCACAGCATACGCATTGCACGTACACTAGGACTGCCTATGGACACTTGGAAGATGACTCTGAAGAAGTCCCCGGACTTTGCTGAATACAGCAACTCAGAGCTCAGCTTTTTCCAAGCTTCCAGGTAAGCCTGAAAAAAAATCCACTGCTGTTAAGAATTGCATTAACTTTAATACATGGACTCCTTAAAGCAGCAACATCTTTTTTCAGGCTGAAAAATGTGAGTTGCTTTCATGAACAGAGAAGGCCAGGCTTATAAGGGTCCAAAAGATTTCTCACTTCTGAAGCATGCAGAGTACATGTTCCAGCTCCAAAGCCTAGAATCTCAGTTTTAAAAAATGCCAACAGAAATGCCTGAGGTTTTTCTAGCAATCTGCTGCTTACAATGTTGGGGTGGTGGATTAAATGCCTCAATATAAGCCTACACCTCATATATTCTAAGAAATTGACATTTCCATTGCAGCTAATTTCTCTCCTTTTATAAATCCTGCGAAACTATGTTTCAGTTATTTAATCTATCTCAAATTGAACACTTTTATTATATTTTTAAACAATATTCTCCAATTGTCAACAAAAAATGTCAGAAGTCTTCCCTTGAAAGTGAAATCTTTTATAAACTTTGTGTTTGCAAAGTACAGTTACTCTAACAACCTAGGTGCATGGCATCACATTCATTTTAAATAAACATTATCTTAGACAACAGAAAATTACTGCCCTTGCAAATTTCAATGAGGGATTATAAACGCTACAGTTCTATTTTGACAAGCGAACACTGTTTCACACCAAACACAGATTTTTTTTTTTTTTAAAAAATCTATGTTATATTTAATAACTGGTACTACTTACTTTAAAAGGCTGGATTAACGGCAAACTCTCCAAACACATTTTATTATTTACTTCCTTTCTTAGGTATCTGTCATCCTACTGACAAATTTTCTAAGTCACGTTGGTTGTTTTCAAAGAAAGAAGCAAGAATTTCCATCAAGTTTGCTTGAAAGGAAATTACAAGAAATCTGTCTCCTGTACAATCTATTTTTAAAGTTGGTTTAAATATAATCTCAATTAAGTGGGAGGGTAGACCTTATTGGGGTGGGGGCCAGTACTTAAGTAGGAGCAATTCCTACTCAAACTATCTTGGCAAAGGTGTCAGAGAATTGTGGCATCACACACCTGATCAACATACTTTAGTTTAATTGAAATTAATGAGACCTAAGTTTGCCTTGTTCTACAGAGCTTAATGAGAATGTAAGAAATCAATACTTTTGTCACCTGAACTAGAATCACAGACTGCTAGGATGCCCAAAGGGTGTAGTTGCACATCATGTCCTATGCTCTTACTTGCTAATGAAGAAATACTGAGAACCAACTGGCTAAGTTATAATCCTTGGACAAATATTTTACTATTCCCCAAAATTATAATACCACTACTAGAGAGTAGATATGAGGTTGTTATTCTATAAGCAGGTGCAATGTTTGAAGTATTTTGTGTTTATTATATGGGATTCAGATCTGAAGGAGGGCACAAGGAGGCATCTTGCCATTTTAGCTACAGGTCCACAATACTGCTCCCACACTGCAGGCGTAAAATCTACATGAGGTACAGTGATTTGTCAGCATTTAATATGGACCAATGTACACTGATACAGAACAAAAGTAAATACATAACTTATATATAGCTAAGTATCCATGAACAAAAAATAAAATTCTATCTCCTATGTTATATTTACATATTTTTAAAAAATCTTAAATGAGATGGTGACTAATCAAAAACCTTGTTTTGAGCTCCAATGATGAATTGTTAAAAAGGAGAAAGAAAAAAAAAGTTTTTGCTTCCCAACGATTGTCCTTCCTTGATTTCTATTGATACTTTAGAGCCAATATAGGCTAATAAATATAATAAACATATTCTGCAGATTTTAAATTCAAAACCTGTCCAATAAGTTGTACTTTACCATCTGCTGATTCATGAAGAGCCAATCAATGTCAAGGACACAGATTTAAGTTACAGATCATCAACACAGATGGAGGACTGGAGCTCAAACAAAGTATTCATACATATAAGAATCTTGCATAAATAAATGAAATAACAAGACATAAAAATGACTCAAATCCGGCAACTGTGAGGCAGGCCCACACGAGTCGAAACAGATGACTTTTGTTCATGTTGTTTTTGTACAACAGTTTCACATTAGTTAGAAGTGATAAAAAATACCATTTATATCCAGTGCTTATTACACTTACGAAACAACATCTGTGAGTGTGTGTTTTTGTAGTATGAGTAAAATCAAGTTTCAGTCCTAAAGAACAGTCCTTTGTTCTCCGCCAGCCTGCAGAATATTATTTTGGCATGGTCATAGAATTATAAAAAGAAAATAACCCACTAAACTAAATGTTTGCCCTTGTGCAAAAATAATTACAAAACATACAATGCTAGCAATATAGCATTCTATCTAAAAAAAAAAAAAAACAGAAACGTAGAATGGAGAGAGATTTATAACAGGAGAAACTTGTAGGAAATTAATAAATAGTCATTCTTTAGGAAATAATGGGTTATCTCCCATCCAAGCTACATCTGTTAGATCAGTTCAAATTCCTAAGCAATCTTAAAGACAACAAAGGATTTTATTTCAGTACCTTAACTAGATAAAGAGGATTCTCACCAGCTAATGATAACAAGTGCCTTTACATCTTGGCTAGACCAGTTTTACTGTGTTAGCTGTAGTTATGAGAGGAGTATTCATTCAAATAAATAGTAAAGATAAGCAATTCTATTCTAGATTGTAGAATGGCTGCCAAAACTTGATGAGTGTGTGTGCATGCATCCACACATACATGTATACACATACACAAACACTTGGTCTGGTGTATGGATTATAATCCCCTATTTTAATATTGCAGAACTGCCTCCACTTCTAGAAATAAGTACTGGAAACTGATAGGTCATGATTATCTTTTTCTGCTAAATCTACAAAGTTTTTGATAGCATGACAATAATCTGGCTTGGCACTATGTTAATTTTTGCTAATGAGCACTCCAGTCTAAACCCCTCTGAAAGCAACTAGGCAAAAAAGATACAATGGCCTCAATCTAGAGACCAAGTCTCTATATGTAAACTTCCCATTGCAGATAGAAACAGAGGGAGCCTCATTTGCCATTCTCAGTAATGGAAGCTCTAGGCACAAAGATATGATTGCAGTCATTTAGTGTAGAAGAACCTAGGTCATATTCATAGATTTATTACTGGTGGTTTATCATCTTTGCCATCCTACAAAGTGCTAAAATGCTTTTGAAAATCCTGGCACTCTTATCCCCTGAGCAAGCTAATAAGAATCTTCCTCCAGTCTTAAGAATGGCATTTCTGTAGAGGGAGGGCAGAACTCTTGACATAATTCACCCTCATATAATTAATGGTTGGCATGGAACAGACCACTTGGAAATCCAATTGAGAGGAAGCTGCTCCATTTGGATTAGTACCTGATACATTTTCTTTATCACCATTAAACATTCACACTGACAATCTGATTGGCATGGATAAATCTACCTCGGCATACCATAAAGTATCTACGTGAAATTGGTTTTATTTAGAGGGCATATAAAACTGCTATATTTCTGGTATATGTACCACTTTGAAATAATTGTAACTATTGATGGTAAGATATAAGGAAGAGAGCATTTATGTTCTTTACTCTAGAAAGAACTTCAAATCAAAGCATATTAATGGCTTCCACCTTAGGAGCTGGTGAAAACTCTTTAAGAGTTTATTTATAAGTCACTAACCAGGTTTTGAACACTGAAATACATTAAATTGATCAATTTCAAATTTCAGTGTTAAATACTGACATCCACCAAGAGCTGGATGATGAATTTGGGAATGCTTTATTTTGCCTTGCTCTTGGCTCCTTAGAAATCAATATTATGTATAATAAAACTATATATTAGCACTGAAATAAATAAGAATTTAAATTTCTACAGCAGTTTTGATCTAAAGGACCCAGCATAATTCACAAATACTGATCTTGGGATACAACTGTGTGTTGTTCTGTTTTGCTTTTCTTATATGGCAGATAACATAAAGTACTGAAAAGCTTCAAATACTTTCTGATGTGCTAAGCATATGCATCTAAACGAGTAAAGTAAAATTGTAAGTACAAGGATGATCATTGCATCCTTTTTAGTTCTCCAGGATTAATATTCAACACAGTTTATCTGAGAGATTTAAAATTTCTATAATATCATAAGTTCACATATTAACAAAGGTTGACTATGGGAATGGCAATATGGAGATTCCTAAACTGTGGCAGCACTTTACATCTCCAAGAATGAGGAAGACTAAGTTGGATTTCTACGCTGTCTATGTACTAGACAAAGATTAAGATAATCTAATACATAAACTTAACAAATAGTTTTAAACCTTGCACCTGATACTGTGTTAGGCTACAACTAGCATCAGGCATACTGGGTGGGGAATATACAAAGTGTTGTCTGACAACATACAATAACTCAAGATTGGAAAACAGAACTACTTTAGGGAAGCCCCACAAATTATCCTAAAAAGAAACAGCATAATAGGTGAATATTGTATACTGTCCTGTATATGATACTGTTCTGCTAATAACAGCATTTTTCCAAGTGTTTTTGACATGTAGAAACATATTTCCTCATGTGTGTGAGACAGAGAGAGACAGAGAGAGAAAGAGAGAATGATTCCTTTCCAATATTAAGTGCCTCATTATTTTTAAGATACCACACACTTTCAGGGGAAAGGGCTCTTTAGAAGAAATAAAGGCAAACAAACGATAATGCCATTACAACAGTACATTTGAAAATATTTTTTTACTATATGGCCCCCTGACATTCTGGAATGAATACATTAAGACCAAATGTAATTAAGACTGAATATAAGAATTCAAAGCAAAGGGACAGAGAATGATTTGAAGGTGGCCTTATGTTGCTAAGACAGGCCTGTCTGTAGCTGGTGATCACTCTGTTGTGCTTACTTATATTTCACACTGATGGTACATCAAGAGGCAGAAGCAACTGAGCAAGTGCATCGTAGCAATCATATTCACTGTTTAAGGAATATCCTGTCTCCAGATTCCTGAGTATTTTACAATTTTCTGGAAAAAGTAGGTTTTTCTTTTAAGATACATAAGTACTTTTAAGATGCCAAAGGATTGTCTAAGACTTTACAGTGTCTCCCTTAAGACTTTTTTAAATATTAAGATTCAGAAGTTAGGAAAGTTTGGCACACCAGAAGGTCAGCTATAGCTATGGAGAGAAAAAAAAAGGAATTTAGAGACCTTATTTTTAAAAAGATGAGCTAATACAGATAGATGTACACGTTTGAGGACTTATTCTGTTTCATGATAGGAAATTTGCAGGTTTTTTTCTTTTGTTTTTTTAAAATAATTCAGAATAAAAACACATTCACAATCTGTAGGCTGGCACAGCATACCTGAGTGAGAATGTAAAACCCCCATTAAAACAGTAACTTAAACCTTTTTATCAGCATCCAGGAAGAGGAAAGAATAGACAACAAAAGAGAGATAAGACTTGTAAGAGAACAATTGATTCATATCAGTTTTCAAGTCCCAATGTCTGATACTTAATGTCTTCACCTAAATTTTTAAAAAAAGTTCATGAAAATTAGTGAACAATCTGTGTCACACAATAAGAAACATTTAAGACCATTCTGCAGATGTAACTGTAGGAGCCATACATGCATGCAGGCTCATTTAAGAACTTTTTGTTCAAAACAAAACAAAACAAAGTCAGAGTAATTCAGCAAACATCCTCAGTTGGCAGTGACAGCCTCGTGGGCTTCATTTTCACTGCTATAGTCTGATTTGGGGTCATCCTCAAAGTCCTCATACATTTCCATCTCATCTTCCCCATTTATCATTTCATTTCCAGCAAGGCTCCCACTGTCCGTCTTCATGCTATAAGTGCTCTGAATGACAGGGATGCTGGGCTCAGGACTAGCAGAAGTGCTGGAGCAATCAGATGTCATCTGAGGCGATGGTGTAGCAGTTGCCATAGTAATAGCACCAGGATAGACCACTCCTGTTCCTGTGGCGATTGGAATCTGAGGCTGTTGCCTGCAAGGAAACAAAGGTATGATTTCCATGAGAAAAGTAGCTCTCCCATTTTAACAAATCATGCAGCAATGTTATTTTCTACTTTTAACTCTTACTGTATTTTTAAAACATTTGCTGGACTTTAACTGAACAATTTAATTGACACAGGCTTCCCTGTAATATTTATCATGTCTTTTTTGGTGTGTGTGTGTGTGGGGGGGGGTGCCTTCAATGCCGTCGAGTCAATATTGACTCCTGGTGACTGCCTGGACAAGTCCCTGCG